AGAAGTTAAGAGGCTTACATCTCAGCTCCCTCCATCAGTCCTTCGGCTCATTCAAACGGCATGACTTTTTCCTAAACTTGTCCCCAGTGCCAATCCTAGCACCTTTGCTAATGGCTTTTTCTCGGTCTGGGATCCTCTTCCCACCTATGTCTGCCTGTCAAAATTCCATCCTTCAAGGCCCCCAGTCACACCTCCTCCATGAAGCTTTCTTTGCTGTTCTCATTAGGACATGCTAACCTTCTCCTTTTGTCTCCAGTATATCTCTGTATACTGATGATTCCGGTAGAGGCCTTTCCCCTGAACTCCAGACTTGTGTATCCTACTGCCTGTTCAATGTCCTCAAGCCGATGGAGAATAGACTTCTTATACTCAACCTGTTCACCCAACCACTCAGCCAAGCTTGCTCCCCCTGTGGGACCCCCATCTCAGGTCATGGCTACCCTGCTCCTTGTAGGTGCTGAGGCCCAAACATGGGGAGCCATCCTTCATTCCTCCTTCTCTCACAGCCTGCATCTCATTCACAGGCAGTTCTGCCTCTACCTTCAAAATATGCTGGAATATCGCCACATCTCACTACTTCCACTGCTACCACCCTGGCCCATGCCACCCTTTCCTCTTGCTTGGATTATTGCAGTAGCCTATGATAGCTCCTCTGATTCTTTCAGATTGTAAGTCACATCATTCTTCTGCTCAAAACTCTGCAATGGCTACCATTTCACTCAGAGTGAAAGCCAACCTCCTTAAAGTGGTCCAGTAAACCCTGCATCTTCAGGATGCTGTTACCCCTCCCCTTGTACTGGATAATCTTCAGTTATCCTGTGGAATCACCTCTCCACCCTTCTCTCCCCTGCTCTGTGCCCCCTGGGAGGCTGGCCTCTACAGGGATCTTCAACTCAGCTCTCTCACCCTTTGGCTTCCAGTTGTGTTCAGTCAATGGAAGATGGGAGGTGAGAGGATGGAGTATTTATTCCTCTGCCCCCTGTGCACATATGGCCTTGGCTAGGCCACAGCTGTGTTCCACTATTAATAACACAGCTCCTGTCATTAGTCCTGGCCTGCATCCAGCTCTTGCTAGATTCCAACAGCCATTCTCTTGTCCCGTCAGGCTTCCCTTCAGGATGTTAATGGCTTTTTAGTCTTCCTAACCCTGGGGTGCCTCACCATCCTTGCTGGTTTTCTTTAACCCTGCCCACACTGTTGTAAATAGCTTCTTCTTTAAACTCTCTTTAATTACTCCTTTGGGGGTACCCTCTGCTTCCTGCCCCGTTTTCACTCTGCTCAGGTTACACCCTCCCTTGCTCTTCCTCCAGCATGCCTGCACGCCCCTGCCTCAGGGCCTTGGCGCTGGCACTTCCCTTTTCCTGGCAGGCTCTTCTCCTGGATGCCCATGATACCCTCTGCCCCCCAGGTCACGCAGCTGTCACCTTCTCAGTGACAACTCTCTCTCCGCCCTTTTGAAAACTGCAGCCTCTCTACTCTGGCAGTTCCATTCCTTTTTTTCTGTATCATTTCCCATCTTTTTAACACACTGCATAAGTTACTTATTTACTGTTTCTTGTCTTTCTCCCCTCACTAGAATGTAAGCTACACAAGGGAGAGTCTTTTGTCTGTTTTGTTCGCTGCTGTACCATCACAACTTAGATCAATGTCTAGGTATAGCAGATGTTCTATAATTATTTGTTCACTGAATAATGTGATTGAATAAGTGACCTGTTGTTCTTCTCTCTCATGTGGTCTACATTTGTTTCCTTGGGCTGCCCTCACAAAGTATCACAAACTGAGTGGTTAAAACAACAGAAACTTACTGTCTCATAATTCTGGAGGCTAGAAGCCCCAAATCAAGGTATTTGCATGGCTATGCACCTTCTGAAACCTGCAGAGGAAGGATCCTTGCCTCTTCCTAGCTTCTGGTGGTTGCCGGCAATCCTTGGCATCCCTTGGCTTGCAGCTGCAGAATTCTAATTTCTCCATTCATTGTCACCTTCTGTGTCTCTATCTCTTCACAGGGTGGGTTTATTTTTTGTTTGTTTTTTTAAATAAGGAAACCAGTCATATTGAATTAGGGGCCTACCCTACTCCAGTATGAACTCATCTGAACCTAAATAACTACATCTACGACAATCTGTATTTCCAAGTAAAATCACATTCTGATGTACTGGGGGTTAAGTCTTCAATACATCACTTTTGGGGGCCACAATTCTTCCCATAACATGGTCTTTCAGTTCTTCCACTGAATTGTCGTACCCAAGTGCATGTATTATTGTCCCAACTAGATTGTAAATTTTACAAGAAAAAAATTCAATTTTTCATCTGAAGTGGCAAACTGGCTGGTCTTGGGCTGAATTTGGCCTGCAGGCATGTTTATCTGCCCTGAAGTATTGGCTCACACAGTGATTTGCAAGATGTTCTGAATCAGTTTGTGAATATTTAAAAATTTGGAAACTTTACCTGAAAATCTGGGTGTCTGGTTTCCATAACAAATCAGAATGCCTGGTCACACACCAGAGGAACATTGTACCATGTTTTCACATACACACACACACACACACACACACACACACATATATATATATCTCCTATTGGATTTGTTTCCCTTAGAGAACTTTGACTAATATGCTCTTCATTCAAAAATATCCATTGCTATTACCCTGGTTCAAGCCATCATCATCTCTCTCCCGGTTGTTACAATTGCTGCATACTTGGAATTCCAGCTGCAGCCTATTTTCCAAGGAGCAGCCAGAGAGACCCTTTAAAAATCATAAGTCAGTCACATGACTCCTCTATTTAGTGTCCTCCATCGGCTCCCATCTCACACAATGTACAAGCTGAAGCCTTCAGATGGCCTTCAAAGTCCTACACAACCTGGCTTCTTGCTGCCTTCACTGACCTCATCTCTATATCCGGTCCTGCCTCACTAGACTCCGACCACACACACTTTTCCTTTAGCTTTCTAAGCAAGTTCCAGCCTTAGTGCCTTTGTACCTGCTGCTCTCTTGTCTGGAAAGCTCTTTGTTCTTGCTAATTCATCTGAGCTATCCATAAGCAGAAGAGCACTGATTTCCTGCATCTCAAGAGAAGCAATAATGACTTTTTCCAAAATGAACCATTTATTTCAGATTTGCCAAAATGTGTGTGTCTCAACCAACTGCCTCAGGGTGTCATCTCTGACAGATGGCCTGGGGTTCCTTCCATTGGTTGGTCTTGATCATTTACAATTTCTGACCTCTGTTGCTGCACCTGTATAGAAATGGTGTGCAGCCAAGTCAAGGAGAAATGTTAAGTCTGAGCATTCATCACCATGTGCAAATTAGACCATGGTTTCCCTTCACTGATTCCCATGTACCTCCCAAAGTTCTTAGTGGCTGCTTTCTAAAGGAACCCTTGCCCTTTTACCCTAGGCCCAAGAAAACATCCTAGTTCATACTTAAAACACTGTGCTTTGGTGAGGGGAAAAGACATGAGACACATTATGGGAAGCGGAAACTTTAAACAGATGTGTGCAAGGAAAACATCCTCCATGGCAGTTCTGTGATCAGAGAGACCCTGTGTCCCTGCATTCCTGGCCCCATCCCAGCCCTCCTCTCCCGGGCCCTCCGTAAGTGCTCAGCTAGCTCCAGAGGGCTCAGCATCAGATCACCAAATCCTTCCTCATTGTAGTCATGGAAAGAGCCTGAATATTAGAAAAGAGAAGCTCTTGGGCTGTGGAATCAACTAGACCTGGTTCAAGCCCTGAATCTGACAATCATAAATGGTGGGGCCTTGGGCAATTATACTTGCATTAGCTTTCTCACTTACAAAATAGAGATGATAATGCTAATATTATGGGGCTGTTATGGGATTTAAATGAAATAGTGTATGATAAGTGCCTGACCTATAGTGAACATTCAGTCACTAGGAGTCAAGACAAGTAAGCACTGAAATTGAAGCCAGACTTCAGAGACATGGCCCTGTCACCTGGGGCTGAGCTGGGATGTGCAGTGGACACCCCTGATCACTCCAGTGAGACTGACCCCTAGGCTATCCTTCACACTGTCATCCCAGTGCTCCTGCCGGAATATAACCTTGACCAGGCCATCTCCCTCCTTAAAGTGCTGAGGAGACTAACCGCAAGTTCAGCCTCCAAGCAGCCTGCAAGTCAGGACCCTTGCTTTCCCTAGGCCACACCTCCTCACTCTTTGGACCACTCACCACCAACCTTTGCTTTGGGCATTAAGGAAACAGTAAGTAATTAATGATCCTTGAGCTAGGTTGTTGGATCAGTCACGCCTCTAACATTGTTGGCATTCAGCTATATTTTCTCCGTCTCCTTCAGATGTCATGGGAGGTTTTCTGAAATTCAGCCATAGCATATCAACTGCATCCCCCTGCTCTGCTCCTTATCCAAAATGGAAAAGAGTTTGGTCTGGTGTGACCGTTTTTTGTGCATACTTGTGGCCTTAACATACTTGGTCCTCCATCCTCTTATCTGTAAGATGCTGGGCTACATCAGGAGATTTCCTGGATTCCTTCAGACCAAGACTTTGGGAGCCAGGGCTGGGCGTTGGCTTACTGATGCTGCTGGGGGTGAGGTAAGATGCTGTGCCCACAGGTCCAGCTTCACCCAGATAGCCAAGGGAGGTGTCTGCACAGAGAGGATGGGTGGGGAGCCCATTCCCAGTAGCAGGCAAGTTACTGTGGGCCAAGCCAGTCAGGGAGGGAGCAAGAACAGCAGCAGCCTTGATTCCTCCTCCCCCCGCAGCCCCCCCCATCCCATCCACCCCCATAAGAACCAAACTGTGTATCTCAATCCTAGAATGTGTGGAATGTGCCACAGCCTGATAGGCATGAAGCAATCTGCAGAGAGGCAGGGAGGAGCTCTACTCCCCAGTCAGAGGCCTGACAGTGCAAGGACTACGGGTCCTGAGGGCTGGGCTGCCCCTCCCATCCTCCCTGGGCCTGCTGCCTCAGCCAGGATATCAAAGACTGCATTGTGCATTGAGCGGGACTTGGTCCCTCGTGTGCCAGGGAGGAGGCGGGAGGAGGGACACCGCTGGGAGGCTGTCCCCTCCCAGTGCTCCTCTGGCTGGTGTTCCCAGGGGCCTTGGCCCGGGGAGGATGGTGCACACATGGGTGGCTGCTTCTGCATCCCTTGGGAGCCGAGTCTGTCCTGGGGTCCAGGTGAGTTTCCTGGGGTGCCCCGGCCTGTGGCTTGGCTGAGGTGGTGGGTCCAGTGAAGGCTTACGGATCTGCTGGGTTGGGGGAGCTACTCTTCTAAAGATGGGGAGATGGTTGTACTTTCTGGCTTCTTCTTCTCCCTTCCTCACTTAGTATTTGTCATTCTGGCTTTGTGAAAAGGGAGTGAAGCCTGGGAAGCATCTACGTTTCCTGAAGAAAGAGGCTTTGAGCTTGCTCTAGGAGGAGGAGAGAGTGCTGCTTTTGGCTGCCATTCCCAGGGTGTGACTAAGCCCTTCCTTCCTTTCTTCCCAAGATTCCCTAGTTCAGGAAGAAAGCTCAGGCAGTTAGTTCCTCTGGGGCCCAGGAGTGGTCATAAACTTGGCCTAAGCCATTCAACCCTATTTTTGTCCGGGTTAATGTTACTGGAGAAAAACAGGCAGTTTCCTGCCTCCTACCTGTTATAGTGTGATTTTTTTCTTTCTCTCTCTCTTTTCTTTTTGTACATCAAATTGAGGTCACAGAGTTGTTGCTCTAAGAATTCTCAAGTCATCTGAGACTTGACACAGGGTGACCAGCCTTGCCAGTTTCACTGGGACCCAGGGCTTTCCCAGGATGCATTCAGTGCTAAAACCGGGACAGTCCCAGGCAAACTGGGGTTGTTGGTCACCTTAATGCAAGCTCCTCGCTTCTTTTCACAGCAAGACCAAGGTGAGGCCCTGTGGTCTCGTGTATGGCATTTATTAGGATGAGTGGTGGCTTTGGAGGAGGACTTGCTTGGGAGACAGAAGAGCATTACACCAAGAAATCATTTCTAACCCTTGTTAGGATTCCGTATCTTCCTGGAGCACTGCCATGTTTCCTTGGCGGGGGAGCCCAGGAGAACCTCTAGCTAAGGCCTTCTACTCCCTGAGAGATGACTTCCCCCTGTAGTCTTGTGACCTGGGCTCAACAACATGGAAGGCACTAGAGGTTCCTAAAGCGAATCTGAAGCAGCCACGTTCTGCTTCCTCTGCTTGAAGTCTCAGCCTAGGCACCTTGGTACCTCCAGCAGGGAAAGGCTCCCAGACTAAGCAACCCTAGACTTTATAAGCAAGCAAATGCCCTTGGCACAAAGGCATGACCTTCAGCTAGGAAACAAATCTGGAAGAAAGATTCTCCAGATTTCTAAGATGTATATACTTTTCAGACCCTCCCCCTAAATCCTGTTGTCATTGCACCCCATGGGAGCAGATGTTGCATGGGAGCTGTGGGAACATGAAGAACCACTGGTCTGTAAGGCAGGGACCTGGGTTCTAGATCTGACTCAGTCTACTTCCTCTTAGGCAGGCATCCTCACAGTTAATCACCTGACCTTTGAGGCCAGAGTGTCTGGATTTGATCTTAGTCCTTTGATTTGTCAGGGGATTTCCCTAGGGAGGATGATATGGTGTTATAGGTCTGAGGCCAGTTGTTGTAAACATCCCCTTCTAGGTTCCCCCTATTTATCCTAGAGAAATGGAACAAAGTATGAGACACATGCTGGAGTGACCTAATAGTGTGTGACTTTGGGCAAGTCTCATATTCTTCGAACCTCAGTTTTCCTGTCTGTAAAATGAATCTAATGATAGTATCTATCACATGGAGCTTCCGTGAAGATTAAATCAGATAATTCATCTCATGGATTTAGCACAGTGTCTGGCTTCTGACCCTCAGTAATTGTGGGCTGTTTTATTGTTAGCTAATAGGGACCATTCCCACGTTCCTTCTTCCTATTCCTTACTCTACTGGAGTAGGAGTCTGTGCTCCTGCTTCTTTGGCTGCTTCAGTCATTGTGTCTGTTTCAGTGGGAGTAAACAGTGAGGACCAACAGTCCTCAGGGGTTAGGGAGGCAGAAAAGAAGAAGGCTTGACAGTACTAAGCCCCGGACAGCTGCCCAGCTGGTTTGCCTTGGTGTGACACAATGACAAACATTGTCCCCGACACCCCCCAGGTGTGCTGCATTCTCACACATGGACTCTGCCTGCGGCATCTGTTTCCGTGATGTTTCTTACTTACTCACATAAATCTCCTGATTCCATGTGGGCAGGGGATGGGTTTCTAGTAACTGCCATTATTTCTGGCTTCTGGACTCCTGGAAATTCTTGCCACTGTTAAACTACAGTTGCTCACTTAGGATCACAGAGCAAGTCATGTCAAGATTTGTTGGTCTAAAAGCTTCTAGCACTGCCCCCTTATCTTTCAACACTATCTTGAAGACATCTGGCAGACTTACACCCTTAAACAGAGGATGTGGGAGAGATACATTTGCCTACATTGATCGCTGTTGTTTGTAACTTTCCTTTCAACCTTTTTGGTAAATATGAATCATCAGTAAAATTATAGGAGATGGGGGGGTGAATGCTGACAATAATAAACGATGCTTCACATTTGAGCTTTAAAAAACTTGTGAGGTGCTTTGAACATACTGATAATAGAGACTATGAGAATATGCAAATTTCTACTTTTTGTCTTATTAGCTTCAGAACTTTTTTCTTTTATTTTTTGAAAAAATAAAAGATTACAGATACAATTAGGGTCCCCTGGTAGTTCTTCCCAATCTTACTACCTACTCTCCCTCCCCCAAATTAATCACATTCATGAATTCAGTGGTTTTGTGCTTTTATTACATATTTGTGTACTCGTATCATTGCAAAGAATTTATTTTGAAGATTTTTAAACTTAAAATGATATCATTATGCAAACTGCTTTTATTCTTTTGCTCAACATTATGATCTAAGATATATTCATGTAGATAAATGTAGCTGTAATTCTAAGTTGGTATTTGTTCCAACAGGACAATGTGGGTTTACATCATAAAAATTGCTGGTTGTATGCTTGTCAGGTCAAAGAAAAAAAATGTGGGTGGAGAAGAAAAGAATGCAGGGAAATGTTTACTGTTTAGTTATCTTCTTAAAGTTGGGAGTGGTGGTGGATGGGTGGGATCAAGGAGAGACTGAGAGAGGAGAAATAGGAGTGAATTCTCATTTCCAGCAAGTTTCTGTGAGTGAAATATTTCCCAAGTTGGAAACCATAGATCTCAGCATTCTGAGGTTGGGTTTATGTAGTGGAACTGGCAAGGTCTGCACCCAATGATCTGGATGGCCTCTGACTCTATTGCTGACTTGCTGTGTGACCCCAGTAAAATCATTACTCCTCTCTGGGGCCTTAGTTTCTCAACAGTAAAATTAAGAGTGGAACTCAATGGTCTTTTATTCCCTTCAAATATTCGTTTTCTGTAATTATTGCCTCTCCTAATCTTTATCTCTCATATTTAAAATGTCAAGATGCTTTCCCTTTTCTAACTTTAAAATATAGTGTCATTCACTTTATTCCCTGACTTCTCATTTGCCAAGATCACAGTCCATATTCTCACACTCACACCCGTGGACTGCCATACAATTTTTCAGCTATCCTCCTTGCTTCTCCTCCTTGCCTCTCTCTGTCCTTCCTGTGCTATCTCAGGTAGAATTTCCACTTTTGTTTTGCCACACCTATGCACAGGAATGTTTCATAGCTCCATATTGCTTGCTATATCCAATCTAAATTCCTCTGCCTTCCTTAAAATGCTCTCCCTATCCTGACTCTACCACATTTATCAACTTTAGCCCCATGACCACTCACCTCTCCAGTATGTCCTCTGTCAGCTCATGTGCATGCAAAGTTCATTCACCCCTATCCTGCTGAGCTCTTTACCAGTAATCCTGCTTTTCTACCACCTATATGAATCGACCAACAAAATAAAGGGGAAGCCATAGACTGGGGGATAATATTTGTAAACCACATATCTGACACTTGTATCCAGAATATTTTTTTAAAATCTTATAACTCAGTAATGAGAAGGTAAACAACCCAATTAAAATGTACAGACACTTTCATTCAGAAAATACAGGGATGGAAAATAAGCATGTGAAAAAATATTCAACATCATTAGTTATTAGGGAAGTATAAATTGAAACAATGAGATAAAACTGCAAACCTACTAGAATGGCTACACTTAAGAAGACTGATACTATCAAGTGCTGATGTGAATGTGGAGCAACAGGAACTTTCACACATTGCTGATGAAAATGCAAAATGGTACAGCCATTTTGGAAAGCAGTTTGGCAGGTTTTCTTTTTTTCTGTGCCAAAGTCAATTTTATTTTATTTTTTTGATATCTTTATTCGAGCATAATTACTTTACAATGTTGTCTTAGTTTCTGTTGTATAACAAAGTGAATCAGCTATATGTATACATATATCCCCATATCCCCTCCCTCTTGCATCTCCCTCCCACCCTCCCTATCCCACCCCTTTAGGTGGTCACAAAGCAATGAGCTGATCTCACCGTGCTATGCAGCTTCTTCCCACTAGCTATTTTCCACTTGGTAGTGTGTATATGTCAGTGCTACTCTCTCATTTTGTCCCAGCTTACTCTTCTCCCTCCCTGTGTCCTCAAGTCCATTCTCTACATCTGTGTCTTTATTCCTGTCCTGCCCCTAGGCTCATCAGAACCTTTTTTTTTTTTTAGATTCCATATATATGTGTTAGCATATGGTATTTGTTTTTCTCTTTCTGAGTTACTTCACTCTATATGCCAGACTCTAGCTTCATCCACCTCACTACAAATAACTCAATTTTGTTTCTTTTTATGGCTGAGTAATATTCCATTGTATATATGTGCCACATCTTCTTTATCCATTCGTCTGTCGATGGACACTTAGGTTGGTTTCATGTCCTGGCTATTGTAAATAGTGCTGCAATGAACATTGTGGTACATGTCTCTTTTTGAATTATGGTTTTCTCAGGGTATATGCCCAGTAGTGGGGTTGCTGGGTCATATGGTAGTTCAATTTTTAGTTTTTTAAGGAACCTCTTTACTGTTCTCCATAGTGGCTCTATCAATTTACATTCCCACCGACAGTGCAAGAGGGTTCCCTTTTCTCCACACCCTCTCCAGCATTCATTGTTTGTAGATTTTTTGATGATGGCCATTCTGACTGGTGT